ATATAGCAGGCTGCCTGCCACCGGAGAGCCAGACCTCCTTTCACAAACAGTTTCCACCTTCAGTAAAAAGCTACATGGAATATTATTAAAAACGAATGCAGCCCTTTTGATCATTCAGAGCAGTTGGGGCAGCCAAAGATTCATATTCTATCCAAACCCCGCCACACACTTATTTCTCCAAAGTTAGACTTTCTGCAAAACGTTTGGCCTATACAGGGTGCGCATTAACATTTACAACCACCTGGGAGGGAGAGACAGCGGCTTGGTAAATTATCACCGACTCTCACAGGGGTTTTAACAGCCTCTTTAGAGGGGGTTGAGAACAGTAATGTGTTATACAGTGACATAGCGCAGTCTTCAATCGACTTTGAATACCTTATCTCACTGTGTTAGTACATTTCATGAACAGTTATGTTATGCGTTTTCTAGGTAAGGCGACTGAGGATCAGAAAAGTGAAGTAACTTGCTCTGGCTAAGCCAGCTAGCAAGCGGTAGCACCAGGATGTGGTAGTTGAAACAGCGGGCTCGATGCTAGGATGATGCAGTTTATCTTTTCACCCTCTTCTGGGGGCGGCTGTGAACTGATACAGCCATTCTGCACTATGGGGCAGCTCGCGTCTACTTGCAAGACTAAGAGGCAGCTTGCGAAATACGCATGCTAATCAATTGTCCACAAAAGGTCTGTGTAATAGGTTCAGCGTTACTCGGAGTGATGATTAGATGCTCTCTGGGTGTTGGGGGAAAGAGCCCCTGTACACAGGGAGCAGATGCTTCCTCTTCTTCCTCGGGTGGACTCTGGTCCCCTGCACCTCCCTGCAGGCCTCGCGGCACTGTTAGTGGGCTCAGCTCTAAAGTGTTTGCTCAAGGGTGACTTGGGCCCCCTCCCAAGAAGTGATAACCCTGAGTACCTAAGAATGTGAGCTTATCTGGGAATAAGGTCCTGTGGGTGTAATTCACTACGTTAGGATGAGATCATATTGGAACAGGGTGGGCCCCCAATGAAACATGACCGGTGTTCATACGCGAAGACACAGACGCACGCGGTAGAAAGCTGCAAGGGACGACGAGGCAGAGGGTGAGGCGCTGCAGCTGCAAGCCGAGGAATGGCTAGAGATCCCTGGTCACCACCAGAATCAAGGGAGAGGCGAGGAAGGACTTTATGAGAATCTAAGAGGGAGAATGGCCCTGCCCGGATGTCGATTTGGGACTTCTGGCCTCCAAAACTGTGCGTGAATAAACGTCTGATATTTTACGACACCCAGTGTCCCTCAGAAACTGACGAGACCCCTACGCAGGCGGGGTGGGTGGAGCTACCGTCTGAGTGGCACAGTACCCTGGGCAAGATGGAGAACTGGGTGGGGACCGAATACTTTTCCAAACAGGTGCTTGTGCCACTATATCCCTGGCCCTTGAATACTTTTCCATATTTAAGGTTGAATACAGTTTTCTCTTAATGCTCCCCGAGGGTTGGGGAATGGAGAGGAGGAAGTAGGTCACTAAATTTTCTTTGTTCATATCTCCAAAAAACACCTCGTTTCGCATTTCCACCAGGCCCTCTATTCCTACCAAACATTCATCTGAAGAGCGGGAAGTAAGCAGCCCTGAAAATACAGGGGCTTTGGTTTCACCCTTCTAGGGTCTGCTCCCAGAGGGAGTTTAACTGGAGCATATCAAGATGTAACACCAGCAATACTGAGTTGTACACTTTGAGAATGTCCATGTTTCCTAGGCTAAGTTTAAAAAATATGTGTGCAGGAGTACAAACCTTTCTTACCTAGAGAGCTCTTATTATTTCACCCGCCCTCCCTGCAAACATGCTAGAGCAGAGAGGCCTCCAAGCTTGTACAACGGCTTTGTCTCATTCTGTGCTCATGGGAAGAAGTGGCTACTGGGACTGACACCCACTGTAAAATGTAGGGGTTTTGTTCCCCACCCTCACAAAAGGTCACTGCCACTTACTGTGGCTACAGAAAATGAGTGGATAGTATAGGTAAGCATACTCCTTGCGCTTCATGGAGGACCCTCTCAAAGACAGCAGATGAGGTACTTTTCTGAATACCTATACACAGGATAGATGCTAGCTGATTGCATTCAGACGAGAATGTTTGCAGGTCTTTATTCCAAGGGCTTCCTTTTTCACTTCTTTACATCCACAGTTGCTAGTAAAAGGAATGTTGTGTATAGCTAATCATCTCCCTGCAGCTTGCTTGCTTCGCCAAATTACCACAAATGGGAGTCAAAGCCATGAAAATGTCACTTAATGCAGAAATAATATCTCATGAACATTCTCTCTTTCTTTGGGAATGTTTTCTTGCTCAACCTCCCCATTCATTGTGATCAACAACTGGTCAATAATTTTTGAAGGATAAATAGTGAACTTGCTGCCATTTATTTTCAAATCATGTAAATTCTCTCATTACCAAGAGTTAAGTTCTTGACAGCTTTCTGATCAAATATCATATGATTTTATTTTCCCTTCCGTGGCACGAATCGTAAGTCTTTTAAAAAGCGAATGGAGAATTAAGGGGAATGCGGTACCTCCAACCTTTCTTCTTGATGATACTCCCCAGAATCACCTCAGCCCTGGAAGGAGAAACAGATAACAGATTAGGATGCGATATCCTGGAATAGCAAGAGTCAACCCAAACTCCAGAGCCCTTCCTAGCTTGAGCTCTCAGTGCTACATATCCCGAAAATAGAAGCCGCTCTCGGCTGGTAGCAGTTTCCGCTCTTTCTGCTTGTGCCTGCAGAATCCTGCTCCGGAGTATTCCAGAAGCACCTGCCAAATCCTGGCACACCGGCAGGAGACCGCCTGCGGTCCTGATACTAAGAAACAGCACAGTCATTTGGCAGTTTGGTATTTTTGAACCACTGATCACATATATAAATGTCCTGCGTGGAGGTATTGAATGGGAGTCAAGGTTTTCCTTCTAATTGCTGCAGAACGATTCAGTCATGGCCAGGGAAGACAAGAAACCTCACATTGCTTAGACAGAAATTATTGACCCCCAGATAACCTTGAGGATAAACAAAGAATCTTTGTGACAGTTTAGATGTCCCCAAGGCTAAGACTGAAGATGTAGTGATCCTTATGAGAATGTCCTGGGATCTAGTAACCAACTTTGTCATAGGAGTAAGATATTGTGCAAGAGACATAAGAAAATGTCCCTTCCGGCCCTCAGGCTGGGTGGTAGAGAGCTGTATTAAAGCTATCACACTTTCCTACCTCTGACTTCTTCAGCAACCTGGGACCTAAGATTGAGAAAACCACACTCTCTCTCCCTCCCAGTGAGGCCCCATTGTGAGAGGTGGCTGGGCTCTGACAGGTTTGTAAATGGGGAGGTCAGGGGGGTTAGCACTTTGTCCATTAGGATGCTATAAATGGGAGTCATCACTAATTGTTTCTTGTCGAAATTGAAAGTTCTGTCTTCATTAGACAGAACAGTTTGCAATAAATCATGATGCAGATTAGCTACGAAGTGTGTCCCAAATGGACAGGCACTGAATGTTATTGGTGTTCTTTTTGTTTCTTCCTGTCTGTCTTTCTGATCATTTTTTTTTTTTTTGACCAGGAATCGAATTCAGAACCTTGCGCTTGCCAGGCATTCGCTTGTGCCGCTGAGCTATATCCCCAGCCCATTTTTGATCATTGTTAACCTTGCATTTCACCCTATCTCAATTACACACCGATAGTCAATAGCTAATCAAAATGACTATGCCTGACAGCAGGAAGGCAAACAGAACTCGGCAGACTTGCTGCTCATCCCGCCCTTTTCCGGCCCCAGCCCATTTTGTACTAAGCAGGATTCAACAAGGAAGAAAACGGTGGAATAGGAGGCGGGCAGAAAGTGCGAGGCTTGATAACTTTTACTTCCTCTCTGGGAGTCAATAGAAAACGGCAGAGATGTGGGCTTTGAGCCTCCTGAGGGTTCTTAAACTTAAATCTGAGCTTGAAAAGGAGGAAATTACGCAAGAAAATTGCACTTAGACCACTGAATGAGGAACCTGATTTGGCAGGTCCGGTCATTTGATTGTAATTTTTCCTTGCAGGAAGGGAATTAGGCTGTAGGTGATTATGTTCCACAGTCCTTTCAGGGAACTGCGGGGCTGATCAAACAGCTTTCTAGCTATTTAGTTCCTTTGGTTAGGGGAGGCATACATGTACATTCAGTTCAGGAGGCCCCGGGCCGGTAAGTATTCCGATAGGTGCTGGATGGCATGACCGGAGGCCTGGCCTGAGGCCACGTCACCTGTGTGTTCAGACTCACCATGGCCTGTGCCCCAAACCTGCGCTCTGGTCCCGGGGGAGGATCAGCTAGATGAACCTCTCATGTAAAATGAGTGAGGCCTCCCTGACTCCTCTGTCCTCAGAATGGGCTCTCAAATAGCTTTTTATAAATGCTTTTGATTTCTTGGTGTCTTTGGGGAATCCCACCTTAGGTCTGATCTGCCTGGAATGCTAATATAGGGATAGGTGGGCACACAGGAAGAGCAGTCCCTGCTTTCCTGCAGGGAGAATGCCCCAGCTCCACTGAGGGCTTGAGCAACTAGGAGACATAGGCATGAAACAATGGGACAACGTCTGAAAAACCATCTTGAACATTGCTCATTCATTTTCTTACTCACATATTTGACTGACATTGATGGATCTTCGCTGCTACCACACCGACACTAGCCCCCTCTGCCTCTTGTGGAGATGACAGTGCTTATGGGTCCTAACTCCCTCCAGTGTGCTTTCATACAGGGATGATTGAATGGACAGAGGGGGCCAGATACAGTCAACATCTGAATGCCAGGGAGGCTAAAAGAGTCGGGTGGAGCACTGCCACAGGCCCGTGGGCAAGGGCATCAGAAATGCCTAATGTCTCGGAAATGCCTGGGGCAGACTCTCGGTTCCACAGATGCCACTGGAGAGCCACAAACAGGTTCTAACTTACTTCCCAGCTGCATAGACCTCGGCAGTATCAAACAGGTTAACGCCACTTTCGTAGGCGATGGTCATCAGCCGCTCAGCAACCTGCAGGGGGACACAGAGGTCAGGCAGAAAGGCCACATGATTTCCAAACCCCAGAAGCACCTTTAGGGCCTTCAGTGTTCTCGACGGTACTGAAGTCTCGCTGAGCACTGCTTGCTTTTCTCAGTTGTAGAGAAAACAGAAAAAAGAAGCTTCGAGCACGTGAGCTTGCTGCCCACAGTCACAGAGTGGGCAGTGATCGCCCTTCGTTGCTAGGATTCAGTCTGCCCTTGGAGCACAGCGGGGTGGACAGGTTCATTTCCCACTCTGCTGGGAAGGTCTTGTTTGACAACATTCCTGACAGTGCCTGATCTCTGTAACAAATGGGGTTATTTGTGTCACTAGTGACTTTATTCCTCAACTCTTTTCTCTAAACCAATAGGTTCTGGCAGCTGGATGACTCCTGACCTGGACCTTGTGATTTTTGCTCCAAGCTTAGCAGACTGTGTCAGAGAGACCCATGACTGTTGTAAAATTCTGGCCACCCACAGTGCAGCCAAATCCCAGGCACCATCAAGAAGCGACTGCTGAATCAGCACAGAGGAGCAGGGAGCAAGCGTCTGGACTCACCCGCCTGAGGGATCCAGCTCCTCACTGCTCAGCCTGCAAGCTGACCTCAGAGCTCCCTGTGCTGTCCTCTCTGCTGCTACACGCTCACGGCGAGTGTGGCAGAAGAGTGCACCCATAGCTATAAACCGTAGTCTGAGGGACAGCTTTAGAGAAATAGTGGTAAACCACAGTGGGGTAGGCCCGTTTTTTTTTTTTTTGTTTTGTTTTGTTTTTTTTTCATTTTGCTGCTGGTTGATTTATTAGTCGTTTGAAAAATTACACACCTCACAAATAATTAAAATTGATTTCCCCATTATGTTTTTTGATGGTGGGCTAAACCTGCTTCAACAGCACTTCTAAGACAAACCATTGTTGTCTTTTGGAAATGGGCTTATTAAGAAATTTGTTACTCTAGCAAAATAGAATCAATGCAGATCCTTTAGAATAATCATAGCAAAAATGCTATTATTGTTTTTAATTTGCTACTAATACAATATTTATTCTAACGAGAGGTTAAAATTTAAGACAAATATAGTTTTTCCCACTCTGACTGTCTTATCTTTAAAGATGATTTTGCTTGCATTTCATATTATCTTTGTGCTGGATGTGACTTATTGGTGGACTATTCCTGGGAAATGCATGCAATTAAATCTTGTCTAGAGAGAGATTTGAAAGTAAAGAATTCTGGTTGGACACTTGGACTAATAATGATGGTGGAGCTATTTCTAAATCATAGGATCTGAAGGCCTGAAAAAAAGAAAAATCACTGAACAGTTCATAAGTCTGAAGACTGGTGTCAGGCACTCAGTGTCCCCTTGCTAGCTAAACTTGGGCAAATCACTTGACCTCAGTATTTCACTTTGCTCATCTGAAAAATGGGAATAATTCTGTCCTCCCTTCAGTGGATCTTAGAGGCCTCAGGGGAAGCTGATCTCACTTCATCTAATGGGGGTCTGATGGGCCTGAAAGCCAGGGGTTCAGGCAGGCTCTCTTGACACACATGGCCGTGAAATGTGTGAGAGAAACAACTTCGGGATTTACTTTTTTCTTGTTTTTCTTACAGAGTTTCTGGAAGCAACATTCCTCTGGAGTTGCTATTCTAATTGAGGCCTGGAATTCCTGATGATCTTCCATCTTCTACCCAAAGAGGATGTTGGTACTCAAAGGGGAACAGGGTTAAAAGACTGGCCAGCAGTGGAGCAGGGTCCTGAGACCCACTGTATTCTATATGTCTAGTTTAAAAGTCAAAATATTTTTTCTCTTATTGGTTAAGCTCACTTGAGTAGGGTGTCCTGTTACCTCCAGTTAAAATTGCCCTAGTTACTTGAAAGATGAGAGCATGTGAAATAAAACTCTGGAAATGAAGTGTTTCTGATACTGATATACTCTCATCATTCCTTTCAACAGTTATTCATATGAGCAACATCTCTCTGGGTTTTGTGATGAAGCACAGTCACTTGCAGTTACTTGGTGTGGTAATATCCCTGCCAAGGAATTATTCAATATACCGCTGAATTCTTGCAGGGACACCACCACCTCCTGAGGCCGTGCTGATAACTGCATCACTCCGCACACTATAGTGTGGTCATCCTGGTGTACTCCAGTTGCGCCTGTTTTATGTTGAGTTGCTTGTAGTTGGAGAGAAACAGAAAAATCTGAGGAGGTGAATTTGTTGTGCCTGGCTCACATTTTTACCCCACTGACGGTAGCTGAGCTCGAGCAATTCAACTACCAGTGAGACTGGGTGGAGCTGTGCTGCCTTCTTCTTCCTTGCTGACAGTGTCTCTGCAGGGACCCCGGGAAAGTCTGGGAGGACTGGAAGCTCTCTGTCTGGTGTGCATCTGAGGGGAGTGCCCGAGGACATTGTTGTGCAGTGTTGAAAACGGGAGTTTCAAAATGATTCATCCCAGAGATCAGCCCTGTGCCCTGATCTGGCAGAGCTGGGCTCACTGCAGCAGAGAGTGCTACGAAGGGGAGAACAAAGCCTGGGGAAAATGGGACGTTGGTCCCTTTGCTCCCAAAGGTAAGCTATTTTTGCCCTTTCCGCTCCAGGCACCATATCAGGCAGTAGTAGGTTATCTACATGTTGGAACCAGTGCATTGTTAACTTTAGACCTCCCTCCCTATTTGATTTCTGTTTGGTGTCTGACTTAAAGTCTGTGGCCTTTGCTCGGCTCCCTGCGGGTTTGCCTCTCTGTCCGCTCCACACATTCCTATCTGATGCCAGTCCCAGAGCTGAGCAGTAGCCTCTGTGAGGTGCCACCAGGGTCTTCCTTCAGGAGGAAGGCTTCTTCCTTGGCCACTGGGAAGGGTGCCATCAAATGGCCTTTGGTGGACAGCGCTCTCTATAAACTGTACTTGTCAGAGCTACCTTGTCCAAGGTCAGACCTGCTTTCAGGTCAGTGTCTACCAATGACTGGTCACTAGAGGAGCGTAAAGATCCAGTCCTCTATCCTCACCTTGGTGTAGCACTGCGGGACCATCTCAACCTCAGAGCTCCCCACGGGGCTGGCCAAGGTCTTCGGTGAGAGGCATCACAGCCATCCTCTCACTCTGCCTTGTCTTGTTTCCTACAGTGTCGATCCTGAAAACATTTCCTAATAACCGATCTGCGTTCTGACTTCTGCCTCTGAGTTTGCTTGCCAAGGAACCTGCCTGAGAGTCAAGCTCCCTACACAGTGATCTATGTTCCAGCAGTGGGAATACGCATTTAGATAGTTTAGAACATGCACTGAAGACTTCTCCCCTAGATCTGAAAATGGCACTTGTGACTTTGGGAACCCTGGATGAAGCCTCCATGGCCCAAGCATCTCCTTAGGAATGGTACTATCATATAACTGTCTCTGTGGAGTGTCTATTCTGGGACAGAAAACTGAACATTTTACAGGCAAAATCGCATTAATATTGACCAGATCCTGTTGAGCAGAAGCACTTAATGACGTGGCAACTGTTCATAAAAGGAAATGATGGTAAATCAGCTCGTAAGTGGCAGAGGGGGCCTGGATCCTGCTGAGGATCCACTTAGATAGATATACTATCTCTGGTTCCACAGTGCAGCAGTCTCGCAGTCAGGTAAGGAAGCATCAGAGTGAGTCAAGAACATTGCCCTCAGGGGAATTCTTGCCTACTCCATGCCTGCCTATCTCATTTATGGCATGAAAGCATTCCTTAAAGGTGATGGCTAAAATATCCTTTTTTTAATTGTAAAGAGAAAAAAGATAAACAATGAAACCAAGTTTCAAAATCGATTAGGACAGTTACAATAGTTGATACATTGGGTATTGTCTTCATAGTAGTTAATGAGTAAAAGATACAGGCATGATATCTTGTCTAAACAATATTAGCACAAAACATTCTTTTCAAGGAATGAAGAGAAGCTAGCTGTAAAACTATCTTAACTATCTTGTGTATACATATATTTTTTTCATTTTGCCTTTCTTCCTTTCCCCTTTCCCCCATTGCAGATGTCTTCTCTTTTGCACAGTTTTTTTTTTTCCCCAGTTCAAAATAGCTATTGTACATTTCGGATCCTATTTTCTTGTTCAGTTTCTCACACTAGTGAGACAATGTGGTACTTATACATTCGAGTCTGACTTATTTCACTTATCAGTACGGTCTTGAGTTGCATCTATTTGAAAGCACTGTTTTGAACATGTAAATAATGATTTAAGGTATTTTGTGGTAAAGGTAATAGGTATACGTGTCACGTGTTGAGTCTTTGCTATCTCTTACTGAGAAGGCTCCATAAACGTCTGACACACATGGCAAGGTCAGGAGTATTATCCATTTTACATGGGAGAGATTGAGGCTCAGAGAGGATGGAACAAGCTGCCCATAGTAGGGTGACTGACTGTGAGTAGGACTGAAAGCTTTTTCCAGATGGGCTATCAGTGCTAAAACTAAATTACAAACAAATACACTGGAAATAAAGAGAAATAAACAAATCAAAATCATAAAACTACAGCAATAAGTCTTTTCATAAAGTGACTAATATTAATTCTAAACTGTTTCAGTATCTAACAGTTGAACCTGCACATATAATAGATTGACAATCTCAAGAGCTATTAATAGTCTAAATGTGAAAAATGCAAGAAGCAAGATAAAATTGAACATAACCTTCTAGTCGGTCTTAACTGTATGCAGGGGTTGAAATATTGTCCCTGTGAAGTGTCAGGGTCCGGGGAGAGCCTTCCTACTGCACAGCTCTTTTGCTACTTTCTTTTCCCCAGCAGAGTAGAAAGTAAAAGTGACGTACCTCATCTGAAATTTGACCTCCAAATGTCACCCATGTTCCTAGGAAAAAATAAATATTTGAACATTATTCATAATCATTATTCAAACATTGTACATAATAAGTAAGACCAAACTCTTATGTCAGGGCACCCCAGTAGGTTGTGCAGATAGTCCACCAAGGTGACCAGGCCAGGGGCACATGTGGGGTACCGTCGGGTCTGTCCTGAGAATTCCAGAAGGGTCTTCTTCCTTCTAGAGGAAGGAGTCCCCATTCTTCACTAGAAGCCACCGGATATGCTCATGCACCCCTGTCCCAAACGAAGTTTTCCTTCTGTTACAGACTATGACTGCTAGTGTATGGGAAGGCAGTGCTATCGAGCCTGCTTTGCCCGCACACCCATCCTTGCCTCACTTGGCTAAAAAGCCACTTGTTCTGAAGGCAAGAGTGGGTGTGTAGGCAAAGTGAGCTTGACCTTGGGTTATGGTCTCCCCTTCCTTTGGCTCCTGTGGGGGTTCTGTTTTGTTTTCCCTGTTACTTTTCTGAAAAGAACCCTCTCAGATGTTTTTCTACTCCCCACTTATAAGACACAAATGGTGCCACACCATCTCTGATGTGATCTGCTCTTCCAGAGCAGAAAAGTCCACTGTGCTGGGCAGGAGGGGAGATAATAGCTGGAGTGAGGACTGGGAAGATGGAGGAGAGAGATGAAACCAGCAGCCAGAGCTGGCTGTGGAAAGCAAGAGATAATCAGATACTGTGCACAGGCCACCCCAGTCTCCGTTCTTGTTCGCTGCCTCTTTATCCCTTTGTCTGAGCCCTGTTGCATGCCGGGCAAAGACACTGCACATGTGCCAGGACTGTGGGGTGAGTGGCCAGCTCCCACCACCCGGGAGCTCACTGTTCCCAAAACCTCAGGATACACGCTCACGCTCACGGAACAGCGGGGAGGGAGCGCCCCGCCCAAGAAGCCTCTGAGAGGAGCCACACCTCGCTTGCTTCTCACAGGAATGACAGGAAGGAAGAAGGAAGGCCCAGACAGTTCCAGTAGAGGCAGAAGCTTGGGCAAGGCAGGGAGGTGGAAAAGTTGAGTGTGGCAAAGAGCTGGGCGTGGGTCATTAGGACGGGAGTGGGGGGCAGGAGTGGGAACATGGTAATAGTCATAGCTCCTGCTATGGAACACCTTCCAAATGTGAGGCAGCATGCTGAGAACTGTTTCTCTAATCATTTTGACAAACTTAAAAAGGAATTTATTACCCATGCTTCCAATGAGAAATTTGACATTAACCGAAGTTTGAAATACCCAAGCTTCCCCCAACACTCCTGGTTTCAAGAAGGCTGTCCTGTCCACTGCAGCACACTGAACTATTCCTGATGACACTTAAGCTTCACACTTCACAGAAGTATGCTGATGCAATAATACTTTTCTCTCAGTTCTCAGGATGGGGTAAAAGTTATTTTGCTGTTATGCGCTATATCCCCAGAGGATGCAAATAGGATAACCAATAGTTTAGCCTCAATTTACAAGGCTTGTTCCATTTGACTAGGTTGGAGTTGACCCACTTTGTATTTTAATAAATTTTGAATGTGTTACTAGCATTGAAACATTTAGGAGCTTTTTCTTAACATTTTCAGTTTCTCTTGAGACAGAAAGTCAGTGTCGCCACGGGTCAGCACACCCTAACCCTGCGTGCAGTCCCTTCTGTGAGGGAGTGCTCTCCCCAAGTGGTTAAAGCCCCTCATCTTCGGCTGTATTCACAATATTGAAGTCAAGTAGCAGTTTTGATTTACTACTATATGTAATGGGATTTTCTTTCTATAAAATTAAAAGGAAAATGAACTTGTACATTTTCTAAACAACAGAATTGAGTGTTGTAAGGAAAAAAGAGAGTGTACATTCTTTTTGTTGGATAGGAAGAGTACCCAAACAAAGAATATTTTTTACAGAGAAATGACATCTTCAGGCACCACAATAAACCCAGCTGTGGCTGGTACACATAAAAGATAGGCACTGAAAAATGTAACGGACTGAAGAAATGGCAGCATTTGCTTTTTAAGAAGAATAAAATAAGTGAGATGCTATGAAATGAAGCTCACTATTAAGTGAAAAAAAATTGCCTGAGTATCAAAACCTTTTTACAAACAGCACAATTATAAAAGAATCTCTTTTGTATGCTGACAAAATTATGTGTCCAGATCATAAGCAATCATTTGGAAATGCTAGGATAACCAGCAAATTTGTAGCTCAGCATGTTAAAAATACGGTTGAGAACTTTCAGGACAAGTTAGATAATTGGTGGCATTTTGTATTGCTACCTGTTAACTATATGTACATGTGCTATAGTGAAAATTTTCAAGGGGGTTAAAGAACTTTTGCTCAAGATGCCTATAAAAGGCAAAACATCAGGGAAATAACTTACTTCTTGTGATAGAAAAGGTCTGAGGCCATTTGGAAGTACAATAGACTGGTCGAAGTGAAAAGTGTTTAGTATAGATTGGGGCTCTCAGGACGGGTGGGGTTGCTTTTGGGCCAGTCAAGCGATAGACCAGAGATGGTACTACTTTGTAGGGATGCTTCACCCAGGCCATTAACTTTCTCATTCAATAGGAATTTTGGCTAAAGAACTAAAATGGGACAAGGCATGGGCCAGGTAATTAATACCACAAATTAGCTATTTTTCTGAGTCTTCAAGCAAAACCAGGTCAGTGTTGCTTCATGAATATGCTGACTTACTTGTACTGTAGTTGCTAAAGAGATTTTATTTTTAACTGCATCAGAGAGAATAGCTCTATATCTATGTTGTGTGAAGACGGGCCCACGTCTGGAGCTTCTTGCTGACATTTCAACTTATCTATACCTTTTGAATGTTTCTCCAGAGAAACATTCACGAGTACAGTGCTTTCTTTTTTTTTTTTTTTTTTCCTCTGGTACCGGGAACCGAACTCACGACCTTGCGCTTGCCAGGCAGGCGCTTTGCCGCTGAGCTAAATCCCCAGCCCCTACAAGTGCTTCTTGACTTACAAGGGGGTTATGCCCTGATAAATTCATCATAAATTGAAAATACTATAAATAAAAATGTATTTTGTTTAACAAATATCATAGCTTAGCAAACAAAAACCAAAAACATATAAACAAGCAAAAACCTTCCAATAGCACACACACACACACACACAGAACAAAAACATACAAACAAGTAAAAACTCCCAAACAGCTCTCACACACAGACATACACAGAGACACACACTCACACACACACACCAAAAACAAAAACAAAGTACAATTGCATCATCAAAAAGTTGAAAAACTGAAGGTTGAAAAATCACGAGTCAGACCATTCGTATTTGCACAAATATCTCAGTTGCTTCTCTCAATCCTGACAAAGTTGAGACTTTGGGGAATTCATTTGCTAAGGAATAATTTGGTCCACTTTCCTACATTACAATCAGTTTCTAAAAGTGAAAATGATAGCCTGAAATCCATTCTCTAAATTTGTGTTGGTGAAAACCGGATTCTAAAACAGTTCTCTGATTTGAAATTTCATGAAAACAACCTAGCATAATTTATTTACCTTTCACAATTAATTGCTGATGGTACAAATGAAGGGCTATGATTTGAAATTATCAAACTGCAGTACAAAATACAATTGAAGACTGAAAAGGATGCAACTAAGATTTAGGATTGCAGACATTTCTTGGAAAAGGTCGTTCTACATGTAAGAACCACTTACAATGATTCCATCTATTTTGGGAAAAGCCTATGATTATTATTATTATTTTTTTTTTTTGAGACAGGGTTTTTCTGTGTAGGTCAGGCTGTCCTTGAATTCATGGAAATCCCCCTGCCTCAGCCTCCCGAGTGCTGGGATAACAGGCCTGCACCACCATGGGAAGAACCTATGTTGAAGGACAGCACTATTCCAAAATGACTCTGGAAAAAACCCACCTTCTCCCCCTGGTTTAAATATTTACAGCTGCATTCTGTACATCAGAGTGGAAAAACACAGAGCTACATTTTGGCACAGAAGATGTTAGAGCAATGCAGTAATTAATTATGAAAGAAAAATACGGTACTAATGAAATCCTTTGCTTTCTGTTATTGAAAACTCTTCATATAAGTTGTGAACATCATATGCTTGTGCTCCAGCTCAAGTTACTTCCATGGTTTATGTCCTGCCAAAGTCTCACGTGTTGGAAATTCTGTCCCTTGGGAGGAGATGGGCCTTTTAAGAGATGGGCTTAGCACGAGGTCCTTAGTCACTGGAGGCACGAGGTAGTTGTTCTGTGACCCTCTGGTCATGCTCACGAGATGATTTTTGCAAACGGACCGAGTTGGCCCCCGTTTTCTCTGCTCCTGGTTTGAGATGTGATCACTTTCACAGTCCTACATGTGTTTCCTCCATGATGTGCCACTAAGTGCTGCCCTCATCAGAGCCCAAACCTGTACTGCCCCCACCTCACCACCAAATCTTGAGTTTGGCCCTCCAAGAGTGTGAGCTGCACAAACCTCCACTTCTTCATAAGAAGTCTGTGTCAGGTATTTTGTTATAGTAAGGAAAAGTGAATACAGTTATATACCTGCAGCACAGCCTAATAAAAAAGAAAGTGTTTCCGTTCCTGGGAATCTGCAGTGCTGAAGTTCAACTTTCAAGTGGGCTGCTTCTCTGGCCTTTAGACATTTGCTACTCATTTGTTTTACAATTACTAGTTTATAGGCTTTATATCTTTACTGAGGGCTGAGATTTCCTTTTCTTATCTTTGTATCTACATACCCCTACAATAGAAGTGGATCTATAGCTGATGGTCATTAAATGTTGGTTAAATTGAATTGCCTTTTTAATACCCTTTATCTTTAAAATATTGGGATAATTTACTATGAACAGACATGGCTCAACTTAGAGAAAATAGTGTTCATCAATACTTTTTAGTTTGTCTGGTCTCTAGATGATTCACATGTTCCTAACTGTGGGTACCCACCCAGCCATGCCCCCAGCAGAAGGGCCAGGGAAGGTCATCAGTGGCTCCAGGCATCCAGTGAGGAGTTGGTGGTATAGTGTAGGCAGGT